CGAGTCATCTCAACTAATACAATGTTTTTTAGTTTCATTAAATTTGGGGAAAATTGAAAGTTTAATCAATTAATTAATTTAATTTATAATATGAATATATTACCAAATTTTGTCTCTTATAAAAATAAAAATATATAAAAGGGAAGTCTAATCAATGTAGCACCGCTTCTAGAGACATTTAAGGTCCACTTTTTGGTGTAATAAATTGGTGCATTAAATATTTTGTCTTCCCACATCCTCCAAACTTTGTCCTTTTTTATCTCTAAACTCATTTAATTTTTTCATTCTCTTTTTTTTTTTTTAATTTAAAAACTTCCATTAATATTATTCCATTGTAGAATCTATTAACTTCATTAAATTTTACCCTTCATTAATTTTAGAGATTTGAGGGAATATAATCAATTTAATTTCTTATGGATATTTATATAACAATTACTAGGGAGCTGCATATTTACCCTACTTTTTTTTATTTTATTTTATAATAGAGGTAAATATAATAACTCCGTGTTATCTCTTTTTTTTTTTAGATTTATTTTTCCTCGAATCATATCATGCCACATCTAGAACAACCTCTTGTGTATGGGCCACAAATAATGTAGGCCCATGGGCCTAAGGCCTTTTAAATTCCTTGTCCGAGATAATGAGATCACATGGCCCATTGGACCATGCTCTCATTGCAGCGCAGCCCAACAAAAGCTTTTTCCTTTTTATTTTTTCAAATAAAAATATTGGTGAGTGCTACAATGTTTAGTTTTAAAGTTTTAAAATATTATTTAAAGATGGTTGAATTTGGATAAACATTTACAAAATTAGATTATAAATTTTTTTAACTAAAAAAAAAAAGAAAGAAAACAACATCATAACCATTTATATAAAGAAAAAATGAAACCAATGGCAGAAAGGTGGGGTTGGCAATTGGTTATTGACTCATTATTTAATTTTAAAATTTTGAATTTAAATATTGGAAACTGACACAACATTGGGGAATAAGGATGAATCAGCATATAGTAATGGCTAAGAATCCCTTGAAAAAGGGTACTAAACCCCACTTCTTAATCATACTTAAAACCCTTTAATTACCACTTTCTTATGTCACTTTCATACATCGTCTTTTATCTTATAGTATTTCCCTTCACTACTTTCTCCTTTCTTTTTTTTTTTAATTTTTTATTTTATTGCTAGTCTATTTCGATTTTATACGTGTCATTAATTTTATTGTTCCACGTGTTTTGACCTCGATATGTCATATTAATTCACTCTAGGGCGAGAGAGCTTTTAATGTCTCTAAGTAGTTTCATATACACCTTCCTTCCACGAACCATTTGATTATTATTTTTTATTAGACTTTCTTTAATATTATTTTTTTTAGCTCGATAGTATGGAAGTTCAGAGGATTTAGACTCAGACCTCTGACGTCTAAACAAAAAAATACATATTGATTAGAGTTGAGTTCCTCAGTTTATTCATTTATATTATAATTCTTTTTAATTAGTCGTATTTACTAAATTTTAAATTTTAGAAAGGGATTTATTTATAAAAAATTAAATAATTCAAAAGATAACTCTTAAAATATAAATAAACTTTTTAACTTAGACAAAATGACAAAATTTAGGTACATAGAGAAGGGTTGAACTATACAATTAACAATTTATGGTTGGTTTCTGAAAGTTCACGAGTTACGTTTATCTATTTATCGATATTTTATTTCTTTTGCCCTTCTTCTTCAAATAAATTTTACCGTTTGATCTCGTTGGCAACAACACTTAATATATGACTTAAAAAAGAAAAAAAAAAAAAAAAAAAAAAACTCTGGACAACGTCCTAAATATAAACCACATAAAATATTGAAAAAATAATAATAAAATAGACATTGAATCTTCGTGAAATATCTGAATTATATGATCGATTTGAAGATCCCTGTCACACTTATGTACAATTTCACATTCAAAACTGAGAAAAATATTATAATTTAGAAATTCATTTCATATAACTAACTAAAATAATATAAATTTATATTATTCCTGAACCCTTTTCCACGTGGGTTCCCTTTCTACCAATATATATATATATAATTTGAAGGACAGAGGGAGCATGTGTGATCCACATTAATATTTGAATATATATAAAAATATTTAAATATCAGACATTTTTAATTTAATATAAAAAAAAATAGTGATTTTATAATAATTTGTGGAAAAATGGAAGACATAATGATAAATGGAAAAGGTTGAGCATATGAGACCACATAAGTTGGGAAATAAATGGACAAAACATGCCCCGTAGGGTCAATTTTGTTCCTAGAAAATAACCCCACAAATTTATTTTATTTTAAATAATGAAATCATATATTTTGCTAAAAATATTAATTATGCTATGACAAATTAACTTTTTTAATATATGCATAAGGTCAAATTCATATCATTAAAATTGTGTCGACTAATATTTTATTTAATTCAAATTTGATTGAGAAACCACCACCAAATTGTAGTGCTCCAAAGTTGCATAATTAATTATTTAATTTCATTTGGGAAAAAAAAATTATGATGTCTTAATACACTCATATGTTGACCCTACAAGACACTATAAGTCAACTATGGATTTTTTCGAGGCATTAACACCGCGTTTGGCTACCACATTATTTACCCAAAAATAATAATAATTGATTTATCCACTTTTTAAAAAATTCATTTTATGTGACATTATATATTTATAAATTACAAAATCTAAATGGTGGAATAAATTATTATAAATTTAAATGGCTTAATATTAAATTTATGGTTTTCAACCCAAGTAATGAATAAAAAAAATAGCCCACTTATGGACTGATTGCTAAAACAATAATAAAAAATTATTTAGTAAATAAAAATATCCCGTTTATGGGTTAATTGCTAAAATAATTTATTTACTATAAAAAGGTAAGGTCGTATTTTGGTGGGTTTGACCAAAAGGCGAGTAATGGATGAAACCCATAATTAAAAAAGATGCAAACTTTTTAAAGGATTAGTTTGAAAATAAGGGAGGAAATGGAGAAAATAGGTGAGAGTGTTAGAGGTATGAGACTAATCTCCCATTTGTTTAAAGCATAGGGATGCAGATTTAATTGGGTGGAGGGTTTGTTTAGTTAAATTAATGGCATTAACTGTCATTAGCATGTAGAATGGGACCAAGATAATATTACTTAATATAGCACCAACATTGTTAGGCCATGCCATTACACCCCATTAATTAAGATATTAAAGATAATAATATGGCTAACTAACCCTACTTTTGCATCTCATTTTGCCTCCCACTAACACCATATTCATATATATATATATAAATTTAGTGACATCTTCCTCGCTCTTCTCCCTCGTTTAATTAACACTTTCATCATATTCTTAATACACAATTAATTTAGTGTTTGATTGCCCACCGCTAGTCGATACTGTCCTCTTTGAGCTTCCCTTTTGCTCTCCTCCCAAACCGATGTGGAATCTCACAATCCACCCCCTCCAGGGCCCAACGTCCTCATTCGCACTTGTTCCCTTCCCCAATCGATGTGGAACCCCTCCAATTCACTCCCTTTTGGGGTCCAACATCCTTGTTGGCACACCACTTCGTGTCCACCCTCTCCTCACTGGCCCATCGTTCAGTGAATGATGTTCCTTGAAATTTTTAAATCCAACCAATATAAGATCTCACATCCATTGTTTAATTAAAATTAATATTTTTTAGTTTACCATTGGACTTTTCTAATTGTTACGAGTAAGTACTTAAAAATTACGAATTTGAATTTTCCTACCATTTAAGCTTGAATTTGGTAGGGCTATTGTTTACATCAACTTTGATTTGTCATCTTTAATTTTATTATTGATATTTAATTCATTTAATTTATTAATTTATATAATTTATGGTATATACTAAATTTAGTTATCATCTAATATTAAATCTAATGACTCAATCTAAAACTACGGTCGAAATAGAATTTTATGTTAAATAAAAATCACCATGACAATAATCTAAAACGATACGAGCTCGACTAAGACACTTATTCAGATTAAATTTAGAAGAACAATATATTAAACACGTTGACTTTTTATCTAATATTCTAATAAAATTTATACTCAAGCAGTAGTATTACTAGCTTTGAGAGCCCATAGAAATTTTAAAATATAGGATAAATTTGGAGTTATATAATGTTTTTTTTTTCTTTCAGTTTTTAGGTCATAATTAATAATGGACTGATTACGTTGGTTCCTGTTATAAATAAGTATAGTTTTAATGTAACCAAAGATTAATACCCACATGAATATCAGCTAACACGACCATGAAGTGGCCTAATAAAATTTTATTATTATTATTATTTTATAATGAAAGAAGGACTTGGAAGCTGACAAAATTGAAACCTTTAAATTAAAAATAAAAAATAATAAAAATGGGAATGATGAAAAACCCATAAAGAGAAATATAGTATAATATTAATTAAAAAATTAAAAAAGCTTAACCTTCTCATTTAAAATAATAGTATTGAGAACCGAGTCCATTACACTTTAAATTTCTATTTACGCTAAAGAATACTACCAATACACTGTATCTTCGATCTCAATTAAAATGTTAGAGGTTCAAATATTTATCTAATAAATAATTTAAAATAAAAACATTTTTCATTTGCTAATTAGGACTATATATATTTAAAAAATGATAGCTTTTTAAGAGTAAAATTAAAATTAAAATTAAAACATAAGAAGGTTGAAGTGGGCACCTATTTGATAGATAAAAAGACAACATTTTCCTTGTACTAAGACAACATTCTAATCCCCACAAATAAATATTAATTATTATTTTATTATTTAATTATTATTTTATTCTGTCTGTCATTCCATACCTTTCTCGTTTGTTATCATCATTTTGTTTTTTTTTTTTTTTTAATTTTAAAAAAAATACATCATTATAAAAATGCAAAATAAATACAATTTCTCAAAAAAAAATGAAAATAAAAATAAAAAATCCGCCCTATAAATTCCGTCTTTCCTATTCTGCCTTCTTCATCAAACTTTCAAGCTCTCTCTCTCTCCCATTTCAATGGCAAAAGTGTACCCTCAAACAGCGCAGTCGCCGTCGTCGTCGTCGTCGTCTTCATCGCTTTGTTACGAAACAGAAACCTTCACGATTTGGATGAAATCTCTTATTTACCACACAAATGGCTGCACCGTCTACGATTCCAATGGCGACATCGTCTACAGAGTCGATAACTACAACAGAAAATGTCGTCGCGAAGTTTTTCTCATGGATCTCAGAGGCAACGTCCTCTTCACCATCAGAAAAATGGTGAGCCAAAAAATGGCGGTTTCTCTGATTTATTTCGTTCTGATTTCGATGCTAAATCCTTGAGTACCGTTCGATTAATTGTAGTTCTGGATTAACTTGTGCAGAAATTTTCGATTCTCGGAGGATGGGAGGGATATCGATGGATCGATTCGGAGAGAAGTACAAGCCCTAGTTTCCGAGTGAAGAAATTGTACAGATCAGGATCGAGGAATCAATCGGTCTGTGAAATTACTGTAGGATTTGAGAGATTTTCGTTGGTGAAAATGGATGGAAAATTGGCTTTCAGAATAATGAACATCAATGGAGAAGTAGTTGCAGAGGTTAGTAGTGACTGTGGAAAATGAATCGAATCGAATCTCATTTCCTTTGGTTTTCTCGGCTGATTTTCCGTCGTGCCAAACAGATTCTAACAGTTTGAAATTGTTTTTGGTGTGTTTTTCAGGCGAAAAGAAAAGTTTCTTCGAATGGAATTCTATTGGGAGATGATGTGTTGAGTTTAAACGCAAATTCTCAGATTGAAAGATCTCTGGTTATGGCATTGGTTTCGGTTTATGGCTTAATCCGTCGCCAAATGTAAAATTATATACACAATTTGGTTTTTATTTTATTTTATATTATTTTCCTCTGTCTCCTTTGAGGATTCCCCGATGTGTATACAACTTACAGATTTTGGTTTCTATGTGAACGATTAATGTAGAAATTACAAAGGAATACATTAATAATTTCATTCATTAATTCATGTTATCTCTCTATATTTTTATTATATTATATTATATTTTATATATATATATATATTAAAAAACCACAAGACTTTTAGGTAAATTTGTGACTTATTTACTTTTTTTTTTTTAATTCAAATAATTCTGACAGTTTTATAACTCCTTCATAAATAGTTCATACTCATAAATAATCTCTGTGATTATTTAGGAGAGATTTTATCAAATTATAACAATTTGATTTAATTTTTAAAATTAGAAGAAATAAATTCTCGTTTTTGTTAATATTATATAAGTTAAAATTTAAATTTATTAAAAAGAAAGTTATCCTTAACTAAAAAAAATTAAAAAATAGAAAGAATGTTATCCAAAGGGTAATTTTAAGCCAACAATTTTTGTTTTAATTAATTTGTGATATGATATACTCATTTTCGTGGTCATAATTAATTAGTTTGTGGTAATTTTAGATCTCATTTAGTTACAATTTCATTCGTTATAGTTAAATTCATTTACTTTTTTTTTTTTAAGTAAATAATAAAATAAACTGAACAAAGCAGTTACTAGACATTGAAATAAAAATCAAAATGTTTATAAATAAATTTACATGGGAGTGAAATTTTAATATATATATTTTGTGGAAAAGAGTATATTTTAACTTAAATGAAATATATTGAGATTAACTATTTAACTATTATTTAATTCATTGAAAACCTCAATATATTACTAACACGTTTTTCTATAGGTGAATTACGACTTTCTAAAATAAATAAAATAATAATAATTAATTGTTTTGAAAGAAAAATCAATTAACACAACATATTAAGATAATTTTAAAATTTTAATATATTTTAACCTCGGGAAATGATATTATACAAAATATATATAATTCATAAATTTTCTCCGTCCAAAATGTCTGCCATTATTATTATATAGTTTTAATATTTTACATGAGCGTATATATATATATATAAATATATAAATAAAGCAATTAATGTCATTATATTAGCCTTAGACAAATTTAAGGTTCTAAATTCAAAATTAATTTGAAATTGTCTAATTCAAAATAGGTGAGATATATTAAAAAAAAAACTTATTTATTATCGACCTTCAAATAAAATTATATTTTAATATACTAAATTTATAAAATTTCAACTGTGAATATTTTATTCTACTAATAATTTTATATCTTTAAATATCATAGTTTAAAGCACTATTTAATAAAAATAAAAAAATGGAAGCTTCATGTTTGATTAAACTTAAACATCATAACATAACATGAGAACATATAGAAGTGACAATCCTATCATCAAACCAATTAAAATTAATTTAAATTAGAAAAAAAAAAATCAATAAAAATCGTAAGTCCTATCAATATTTCATTATATTATACATATAAAAAAACATAACTTCAACGTGACAATCATGATGCCAATTGCCAACACACATATTCCGAATCCCTAATAACTTTGATTATTAGTTTGATGGTTTAGGGTTATCCAACTCAATAATTCCTCTTTTAAAATTGAGTCATTTTTAATATGCAAAATTTTGGTGAGATTGTTTAATTCTCCGTTCCCTAGTTATCATGTCGACTAATTAGACAAAATTAATAGTCTTGATTTTTTTTTTATTAGAATAAGATAATCACTTTAATTAAAAGTAACGATATGACTAAAGTAAAACAAGAGGCATCGAGTTGTTTTTAGAAGACTTAAGAACGAGAAAGATGAAAAAAGAGAACTCTTCCTTCCTCGTAAAAGCAAAAGCTTTAAAACACGCGTGTATGTTAACCTTTTTCTTCTCTAAGTCCAAACAATCTAGGTTGTCTTTTTTACTTCATTATGAGAAATTGATTTTTATTGTTTTTTAGTCGCACCCTAATTTGATGACTTTTTTGGGTAACTAAGATGTGACGAAACAAATGAGGTATGGGTTTTGGGTTTTGGGTTTTGGAGGTCAATCATTTTATCAATGTGAAAACTATAAACTTAGATATTGGCCAAAGCCTCAAGCAACTTTGGTAGAATTTGTATTAAATATTTTATTTGGTAAAGTTTTGAATTTTAATTTTATACATTGAAAATACTTGTGGTTGTGGCTTCAAGCCCAGAATATAGAAAGAATGGGTGTTTTGGTTCTCTTGGCATATTGGAATTTTGAGGATTATGTTTCTTATAATAATTCTCAATCGAATGTGATGGAGTTTATGGAAATTTAGATAAATAGAATTCCTTACATACACAAAATTTCATGAAAATACAAATTTTGAGGCGTAATTCAATTTATTAAAATATATGCCATTAACAGAATTAAGTTATTTTACAAGATGTTAGAAAGTATTTATTGTTATTATTATTAGATTTGAATAAAATAAATCACAATATAAAAATAGATGTAATAATAACAGTCAATTAAGTTCTGCATTTCCAATAATAATGTAATGGACAAATTCAATACCCACCAAATTATAATCATGGCAACAAACCTAAAGGCAAACAAGTCATGGTCAATTAGAGCTTTTCCATGTGATTAAAATACCAAACTCAAGATATTTAGGAGTCCTACTATATACCAAACTCAAGATATTTAGGAGTTCTATAGTAATTTAAAAGTCAAATCAATGCATTTTAACAAATAAATAATTAAAGTTCAACCAGTAATGATACTTCCTATCCTAATTATTGTTCTAAGTTCTAAATTGAAATAGACAGCATGGCCAAAATTCATTACTCTATTCTGAAAGAAAAATAAAATAAGAGGATATTCTTCACAAAAATTATAACATATAATAGTAATAATAATACAATTGGAGGATGTAATCCGGATATTAATTAAGAAAAGAAAGTCGAGAACCTCAACTAGTTCGAAAATCAAATCTTCCAGCCTACATCGAAATCATATCATAAAATTTAAGAAAAAAAAACAGAACTATATGTCCTCATGCATGATTAACACGTTGAATCCCATTAAAGGAAAAAAGAAAAAAACAAAGCTAATCAACTCAATCCCACGAATATCTTCTCCTATTTTTAAGTTCCGACTTGAAAGTTTCACACACAAATTAAGAGATTGCTGAAGGATCATGGAGGCCCAAAAAGTATTTGGGAGAGGAGACAGAATCTTCTCTCCCAAATGGCTAAAGGTTTCATTTTCTGCGGTTTCTGTCTTTGATGGTGAAGCAGCCTGTTTTCCTTGCATGACAGCTGATTTAAAGGCAGAGACTTTCACTGTATGGATGAAGTCCCTGATCATGCAAGGAAATGGCCTTACTGTTTTCAATGAAAATGGTCAGGTTGCTTATCGCATAGACAATTATGATGAGAAGAGAAGCAGGGAAGTCTTTTTGATGGATCTCAGAGGGAAACTTCTCTTTACGGTGCGTCGAAAGGTGGGTTTCCATGAACAAGGACTGAACATTACTGTGTACATTTCAAGCATTGTTTTTCCTCATTGATTCGTTTTGGTTTCCTTTGGCAGAGTATTTGGTTTTTATGTGATTGGGAAGGATTTAAGGAGGACGTAAATACAGAGGAAAGAAAACCATTCTTTAGAGCGAAAAAGATTCTCAGAGTTTTCAGTAATAAGTTAAGCTGTGATGTAAAATTATGCGGAGATGAATCTCAGGCAAGTTTGTGCTATAGGTTTGAGGGATTTTGGGGCAAAATAGCATTCAGAATATTAGACAGCCGGGGAGGACTTGTTGCAGAGGTAAGGCTTTTTGTTTCAAACTAAATTGACAAAATTTCATAGTTTTAGGGTTTACCCGTAGGTAACCTTCAACCCATCTTTTTAAACCATTTATTATTTACATGGTAGTTATGGACCATTAGGTCAATTCATGGTAGTTCCTTCCATACACTGCATCGGTATCATATGGTCCATTTGGGGCTTAAACCACAAGATTTAATCGAATTCTATTGGTTTTTCCCACTTGTAGTTGATGCATGACTTTAGTCACGCTCACTTGTTATGAAATGAAGTAAGTAGCAATTGGGTTTGTGCAGGCAAAGAGAAAGCAATCATCTTTAGGAGTTCAATTGGGAGAAGATGTTATGAGTTTGGTCCTATTACAGACTAATTTAGATCATTCCCTTATCATGGCTCTTGTCACTATGTACCTGTTGATTCAACGTAGAATATGATTCATTTGTTTCAACAGAGAGAAAAGGAGACAAACCTGGAACAATGCCTGAAAGACTGACGTGTGTTTGCTTCCCATAGTCAAGCTTGCAAATTGGATCCGAAGTATCCAGCTTCTTGACCAATTTGTCCGTTTGCCCTTCAAATATTTCAAGAGAACTAGAGCAGCCATAGAAAAGTATAGAATGGAATTCTTTTGGTATACCTGTAAAGCGCATTCTTACATGCTTACTTTTACACTAGATGTTATGTCAGTGGATTTCTTATATCAGACAAGGTATGGTTGGTGGTTTCTGGACCACCTCAAGTTGCTTCAGTTATGACGCTGTCAAATGCCACTGCCTGCAACAGACTTAATTACTGGAACTTCCCTGCAAAATAAAAAGGTTTAACCATAGGAGATCTAGTTCTAATTTCACAAAGGCCCCTCTCCCCTTTCCCATCCCAAATTGTTGACCATGGAATAATAAAAGGAAAAAAAGAAAGAAAGAAAAAAAAAAAAAAAAACTCGTGTATTTCATGACAAGCTCGGGAAAATAATTACAGAATTTAAAAATAAATAAAGAAAAGCTCAACAGACCAAAAATATTTGACTCACTCGGACAGATCATGTCCAGATGAGGACATTTCTGGATTCCCGTTGCTTTTGCCTTTTTTTTTTTCTCATCTTTTTTTGGTGGAGGAGGGGGCTATATAATTTACAAACAAATTATTTATTTACTCTAACATAATGTCTTGTGTGGTATCACGCTACTTTTTTTCTGTACTACGAAATAATTACTAGATCTTCTTGTAATTTTTAAGACTACGAAGAGTCATTACAAGCTGTTGTCTTTCACCTTCTACCTCTGCAAACTTGAGACTTATCTCTGAATATCTCTCTTGCATTTCCTTTAGTTCAATTTCCATTAATTTGTTTCTTTCCCTTAATAATTCTAATTCTGTAGAAAAATGGTCATAATTGGTAACGCTGTTGTCAAGTTTGCAGGCTTTCAATTCTGTCTCTGCTGAAATTTTATCATTCCTGCGGAGAATAGAACAAGGAAGAGAATCAGGAATTGATTGTTTCTTTCGTTTAATTGAACAACCAGAATCAGAGAATGAGAAAGAAAAAAAAATTGAAGAGAGATTATTATCTGTCTTTGAACATACCTCCCAACTGATATGAGGTTCCCATATTCTACGGATGAAGAAGAGTTTGTGTTTTGGCCTTGGTTAACTACTGTATCCTCGGTCTTTTTCATGTTGCTTCGACACCTATTTACCTGCTTCCAAATCAACCATGAGATGTTATTACGACATACAAATATATGCAACTTCAAAGAAAATTATGAGTAACCTTGAGATCCAGATATTTCTACGGAAACAAGCATGCATGAGAAAGACTGCCGAACACGAGAAATCCAGACACCAAAAAAGTAAATGGTGAAATCAATGTCAATATTATCCACAATTACCTCTGTAATCAGTTAAGTGTGTGTTTTAAATGTTAATGAAAAGGAAAACGTTACTTTTGACACACCAATTGCGGTTAGAATCTGCATTTCTTAAAATAATGCATATTTCCTACCTCTTGATATGTGCTAGTAGGAACAGCGTCTTCCAATTTGCACTCCAACTCTTCAATTGTGTGCTGAAAATCCATCGCCTTCTCTGAAATTCTACTTGCTAGAGTTTCTATGGCGTCTTCTTTCAAGCTCACCTGTCTCTGGAACGGGAAATAGGATCCACGAATTGAGTAACATAATTGAAAATTAAATCGACCATTTACAGAAACTTCCAAAACAAAATGTCGATGCTTGGCTTGGAAACATAAGCGATCATGCATTCATGCGAAAATTTTCATTTGACACTGCGTCTTTTGATTTTAATGTAAGAGGGGGTCTCGAGGATACCTCAAGCAACTCAATTTTCTCCATAAGAGCTGCGACTTCCTTTGGGCTACTTTCTGGAGCAGACTTATTTTCTGTAAAAGCTCCATTTCCATCACAGGCTGATTTGTGTTCCTCGCTGTACCAGAGCATGTCGACACCGTTGAACTCTTTCACCTTCTTTAGGTCATCATTTAATTGAGAGACCAGATGTCTAAGTTTATCTTTCTCTATCTCCCCTTCGACCAAGGAATGTTTTAAGTCATTGAAGTGATCTCTGAGCACCTCCAATTCTGTTTGTAGACATCCCATTGATACCTCATATTCATCCTTCCGATGCCTTATTCTATTTAACTCGTTTTGAAACTTCTCGCCTTCTTTTATAAGCAAAGCAATGGTTAATACCAGCTCATTTCTTTCCATGTTTTTGTTCTGGATCCAGCTCTCGCTTTCCTTGAGTGACCTATTCTCTGTTGTGAGCCTTTCAATTTCAAACTTGAGCGAGAAAATCTCCCTACAGAGAGATTCGCAAACCTCTTTTTGAGTGTCCTGTTTGTCAAGGAGCTTGGACTTTGTATGAAGTTCTAACAACATCTGTTCAATCTGACTTGTTTGCAACTCTACCACGTTTGAGAGTTCACAGAGCTTTACTTCATACTCGTTCTTAACGGATTGAAGCTCTTTACTAGTAGACGCAAGTTTTTCATCTAATTGAATTTTCTGCAGTTGCAGCTCGATAGATTCTGCCACTGCTTTAGCAGCTACCTTCTCATTTGCATCAAATATCGAGGCTATCTGCATTGAAAGCCTCTTGAGTTCCTCTTGGAGCCTCTCAGCTGTATCAGCATTTCTCCACCTTGTCTTTCTCAAGTCCTCCTCTGCTAGGATGGCTCTTTGCTCCTGCTCAATTTTGGCACGTGTCATTCCTTCTAGATCAGCCACAAACTTTTCAGCTTGCTGCTCCAGTTCTTCCTCCAAGGACTGGATATGGGCTTCAAGTTCTTTTATGGTGCTCAAAGAACCAGAGAAGTCTTGGGACCGCTGCTTAAGCTCCCTCTCCAAGTGGTCTATGTGCGTTTCCAGCTCTACTATGGTAGCGGAAGGCGTGCATTCTTCATTCATGTCGAGTTTCTCTTCCAGTTCACACTGCTCTAGTTTATATGACATGCCATGATTTTCCTGTTTCAGTATTTCATAGTCGAGTGCTAGTTGTTCCATATGCATTTCTAATTCATCCTTTTCTCTCTTGTAGAATTCTACTTCACTATATAGGTCAATAACCTTTTGTTCCAGAAGATATGTTTCATTTGCATTACTATGCTGCTTAACAAGTTTTTCTAATGCCTTCTGCTCCTCATCATCCTCAGATTCACACTTCGAGATAGAATTATAAAACTCTTCAGCATTCTCAGAAAATCTTGATCTGTCATAGAGATGGACGTTTTCACCTTTTTTCTGCTTTAACATTTCCTCTAGGTTTCGCATTGCAAGAATCAATTCATCATTAGATTCCTGGGTCTTCTGGAGTTGTAGTCGAAGATTGACATTTAATTCCTTCTCCTGGTTTAGTTCTTCCTTCATTTCTTCCAGAAGAGCCGCAGTTTTCTTATCCTCCAATTCCACGCTGGTTTTGGATTTCTCTTTGAGTCTCTCGCACTCCACCCTGAGTGAATCTCTTTCCTCTTTCAAAATGACAATTTCTTTGGACAGATCCTGACCCCTTTTACTTTCTTTGACAATTTGTTTTCGAAGCGTCTGTAGTTCCAATTCTGAAACTTCTGCCTGTCTGGAAGAACCAACAAGCTCAGCCTTGAGCTTTTCAATCTCAATATCTGCATCTCTTTCAGACCTCGTAACTAATCCAGACCTTTCTCTGGGAGGCATATCATCTGATGGTTCATCTATGCTCACTCCATGATCGGAACCAAGGGACCACATTGATTGTGATCTCTGATTCTCTTTATCAGTGGTTGTTGAAAGGAATGTCACTGATTTCTGCGGAAGTGAAGATAAACTAACAGGCTGAAGATGGTTATTCTTTCTCGCTCTATGTTCTCGTGGAGTATCAAATCCAGAGCTGCTCTCAGAGCTTGACAATGTAATATCAGATCCACTTGATGCTCTACAGTTACCGTTCAGTTCGAAATCATGACGGTTCTTGCCAATCTGCTCATCCTATTAACACAAAGAATAGGAAAGAATTATAGCGACAATAGCTGTGGAAAAACTCAATTGATTAGTCCATAAGTTAAAAGCTAGTCTAGAAAACTGGCCATGAAATCTCTGAAAAACAGTAAAAGAGAGAAGGTGCTTAGTATGCTAGTTAGAAATGGAGCCTTACTTCAGTACAATTGTTTTTATTGCATTCATCTATTTCACTATTGCTCAAGAATGATTTCAAGTTCGTTTCCTGGGATCTAACGCTGGCATCATCAAAATCCTCCACCTCTCTGTAAAATATCAGTCGAACATTAGCAAAATAACCTCTTGAATGTTTGCAACTACTAAAGGAATAATACTCGAAACCATAGATTCACACCTTGGCTCAATTTTAGACTGCAACCTCTGTATCAAAACCTATGAAATGACAGAAGCAAAAGTTTAATTAACACTGATGATGAAACTTCAGAGCTCAACGGAGTCCTAATGTTCCAATTCAAAGACTAGACTCCTAGTTAAAAATGATAGATTCACACAGAATTTCAAATTAAAAGTTGAAAATACTCACGTGTAAAACTGCATCAGAAGTTGAGTTCTTTAGGGGAAGCGAAATGGAAGAAGGTTTTGTGGCATCCGCATAATCAGCTAAGTTGATAGAAACCTCCCCAAACACCTTAGATTTTGCCCGTCCCTACATGGATACCCCAATTAAACTGCAAATGTAGTGTACATTATAATTGACAACAAAATAAATAGAAGGTAGACCTTCCATACATACCGTCGAGACGAGGAAATAATAGATTTTCTCATTGATCTTCCCAGATTTTGTGTCCCGCACGAACTTGACTGTTTCATAAACTGGTTTTTCCCATTTGCAATATCCATCACAAACTATGCCTTTATCCAGTCTTGCTGTTGCCTTTCCCACATCTCCAGGAACGATGGATAACGTCAATGCATCCACCACTGAGTGTGACACCTGAAATCAATTACATTTACAATCTTCATAATCCAGTCCAGCCAAACAATCTTGCTCTGTTTGCAGTGAAGAAAACAACAAACAAAGAGGTTCACGGGCACGCATGTATTAATCCATTTCTATCCTGTCCGTTGAAATCGACAGAAAAGTCTCAAATCCATTAATACTCTAATTTATCAGCTCCAAGTGGAGGACATCAACGACTCAGACACTGCTCTCATTTCCAGCTAACTTCAAGTAATGCTCCAAACTCCATAACACAAACTCAATCTAAAACCAGCTATATGTAATTGAACACCGGAAAAGAAACTTCCAAAATCAAGGTCAATGTCCAGGCCAAAAGCGAAATCATAAAAAAAAACAAAACAAAAATCAATAATCTCAAACATACCTTAGTGACATGAAACTGCAACTTAAACTCCGCCTTCACCTTATTCTTCTCACTCCTCCATCTCCCTGACTTGAACATCTCCACCTATCTCCGGCACAGCTTGCGCCGGCGACCAGTTCAGAGCAGATGTTCAAGCTGCGACCGGAACCTCATTTCTGCAGCAGAGTGAGCCGTTAAAGAGCAACAACAACAAAGCGATTAACAGTGTAGATAAAACTGCAAGGGAGCGGGAATCGGAGAAGGAGATAAATTATAATGAAATTTCACATTAGAAAAGCTTAAGAATGAACCTGCAACTCAACAAAGATGGAAGATGACCATGACACGGAGGAATTTGGGAGATCTGAGGGATTCTCTTACTGTCCTCTTTCAGGAAAAAAAAAATGGATAGAAAAATTAAAGTGCAAAAAAATATTTTATTTTTAAATTTATATTCATTTATTTTAAGTTTGTTTTCTCTTGGAATTGAACAAAAACACAGAGAGATGCGTAAAATAGCAAAAATAATTGGTGGTCTGACAGTTCTGCCCCTGAGCATTTCAAACTTTTCTGTGACATTTTACTTTTATGCCACGTGTCATCCAGCTAGGAAAATATTGAAGGGTGAGGTGTTCTCTTTTATTATTAAATATACAATTCATAATTTCTTTTATTGGCCAACAATTTTATTTAAAAAAAAAAAAAAAAAAAAAAAATGCTTCTTCTG